TGCTTCCAAGGCCAAATCCCAATAAGCTCAGCCAGCGCGCTTGATCCGTCAATAACAGTCCTTACGACAACCATTCGCGACAGGGTCGGACCTTGGGTTCGATTGGGCGGCTTAGGCTTGCCCTTACCCTACGAGCATTGCCTCCTCCTCCTCCGTCGCCCCAGAAACACAGATCGCGTTCGCTGCCCCTCAGCGAGCTGAAAAGGCACGATCTTCCTTTTATTGGCCAGGGGCCACGGCGCAACGGACACAGCGGCAAGCGGTGCCACCGCGTCGGCGGGGCAGGCGCGCGGCGGTGGGCCGAGGACCGGCCCTGCGCTCCCACGAGGGGGCCCCGAGGGAGGCCGAGTGGCGGGCACCCTGCTCGGGCTTCCCGCTCCACCCCCTCCCCAGACCCCCTCGAGTCATGAAAAAATCACGACGGGAGGTTTTTCATTATTTTTGGCCTCCGGGGGCCCTTACCAGCCCTCGGGAGCGTCAAAAAACGACTCAGGACGAAGAACCGGTCCTGGGGAATGGGTCCAGACCGCTGGGGGTCGACGTCATGAAAAATTCATGCCGTCGGGGGTCTGGGTCCACCCCCCCCTCCCCCTCGCACCAGCTCCCGCCTCCGCCGTCTTCAACTGATGGGCGCGACGCCACATGGCGGGCTCTGGATTTCCCTGGATCCAGAAACATTGACGCAGCCATGCTGTTGAAACAAGGATCGAAAAATAAGGAACGACGCCCCTTTTCGGCCCCAAAAGCTTCGAGATTCGCCGATCCGGCGTGTGAGTTTGAAGAGCCGTAGATTTAGCCTCAGCTTCAGTTTCTGAGCTTCTGTTCTGCTGGGGGGTGGGTGCTGGGGTGGCTCTGTCGGGGTAGGGGGGTGCGGGGTGGGGTGGGGGACGCGCTGTGCTCCGTTTTCCCGGGGGGGGCCGGGCCGTGGGAAACACAGCAGAGTGCCACCACGGATGCCAGAGAGCCCAAGATGGCTGCAAGATATTTCGAAGACGGCCCAAGATGTACCCAAGACGGCCCAAGATGGCGTCATGACGGCCCAACAGGCCTTCAAGAGGCCTCTAAGACGGCCCAAGACGTCTCCAAGAGTTCCCAAGAGGCCCGAAGAACGCCCAAAAGCCCCCCAAGAGGGCCCGAGAGCACTCCAACAGCACCCCCAAGAGGGGCTCATCGGGCGTTCCTGGAGGTCCACTTGGAGGCCTCTTGGGGGCTGCTTAGGCCGTCTTGGCCCATCGTGAGGCAATCCCTCCCTCCACCTCCCTCCGCCTCATCCTCCACCTACTCCTCCACCTCCCCTTCCACCAACCAGATCGCATCGGGAGCGCCCCCGGATCCGCGGTACTGGCCGGAGGCCACTACAAGAAGGATCGATCAATAAGAAACGGCGCCCCTTTTCGGCCCCAGAAGCGTCAGCATGCACGAGGCGGGGCGGAGGTACAGCCATGGAGGGACCCGGTAACCATCGCGCCCCGTCCGGACCCGAGCCGTCCCTCCATTTCTGCGTCTTGCTCTCTTGGGAAGGAGGAGGAGGAGGAGGAGGAGGAGGAGGAGGAGGAGGAGGAGGAGGAGGGGAGAGGAGGATGAGAGGAGGAGGAGCGAGTAGGAAGAGGCGTAGGAGGAGGGGAGGAACGAGGAGGAAGAGGAGGAGTAGCGAAGGAGGAAAGAGGAGGAGGACGAGGAGCGAGGAGTTGAATAGGAGGATAGCGGGAGAAGAGGAGGGGTAGCGAGGAGGAGGAGGAGGAGGAGGAGGAGGAGGAGGATAGAGGAGGAGGAGGAGACGGAACGAGGAGGAGGAGGGGGGGAGGAGCGAGGAGGGGAGAAGGAGAAGAGGAGGAGTAGAGGAGGGAGGAGGAAAGGAGGAAGAAGGAGGAGGAGGAGAGGAATAAAGGGAGGAGGAGGAGGTCTTGCACTGCGTCGGCACCGCTCCACCCCGCTCTTTTTTTTTTTTATTATTCTTTGTTGTTTCCATCCACCCCCCGGCGTGATGCCGCCCCAATCCTACCTGACCTCGTCCTGCCTCCGCCGGCTCCCGCCGCCCTTTCCGCCGCCCCTCCGCGGGCCTCCGCCGACGCGGAGGAGTTGCCAGCCCCTCGGCCCTCGAGGGCGCGGCCCTGCCCGGGGCGCCGCAGGACTCGGCGCGGGGAAGCCAGGCCAGGATCAGCCAACGCGTGCCTCAGAACGGGCCGCACCGGCACGGGACCGATACATATATATATATATATACACACACACACATGTACAGATATACATATACACGTCCAAGATTTGAGGGCTCGCTTCGCTTCGCCTCAATCTTGGTCCTGCGCCCATGCGCACCCAAACACTCGGTGAATGAATGACGTCTGCAAGCACATGATGACCATGAGAGGGGTCGCGGTCATAAGTCCCGGACGGGTCATAAGCATTCCTGTGTTTAGGAGACGGCGACATACCGCGACGAGGCCATAGTCACCGATGATGGGTTACAGGAAACAGTGGAAAAAGGACGGTTGGAAAAGACGTGGGCGATGCGGGTTTCCTCGGACGCCTTTGCTGCTTGGGGCGGGCCCCAGAAAATCGGGTGAGAGTGAGGGTGAAACAAATGCGCTCACAATCGGTCCCACAAAAGGGGTCGAAACCTCCCTCCTCCCCTCCCTCCCTCGCTCGTCACCTATCCTCCTCCTCCTCCTCCTCCTCCTCCTCCTCCTCCTCCTCCTCCTCTGTGTCCTCCTCCTCCTCCTCCTCCTTTTCCTCCCCTCCCTTCCTGTCCATCGAGAATCTCCGCCCCCTCCGCTCCCTCCGCAAAGACGCACCCGAAACTTGTCCCTGGACTTCCCCCGGGCCAAACAAACTGCATGCTGCATGGTCGTCGCGCTTCCCTTGGGAATCAGTAGCCCTCTGAGAGGGCAGAGAATTGCAGTGAGACGATCGGGAAAGAAGAGGAGGAAATCATATGAAGGGCAGAAAAGGAGAGGAGGGCGAGGAAGAAGGGAGAGAGACGGTCGGGGAAGGTGAGGAGGAAAGGAGGAGGGAGAGAGAGAGAGAGAGAGAGAGGAGAGGACAGAGGGGGGAGGATAATGACACGAGGAGGGCGAGATAGGACGACGAGGGAGTCAGAACAGGAGGAAGAGGAGAAGGATAAACTGGGAAAGGAACGAGGGAACGAGTGGGGGGCTGCGATGCGCGAAACTGTCGCTACCTTCGTGGGCCGCTGGCGGGTCCAGCGGAGTGGCGTGATCCGCAGACCAGAATGAGGCC